ATTTTTCACGTTTTTGACACTCGTCTACGCGCCGATCCCGAACCGCTTAACAAATGCCATAACTAAATGTTATAAACGCGTACAAACAGAACAATGGGCAGCACCACAAGCGGAAAGAACTTATTCGATAGAGCGGATGCCAGAACAAAAGCGCTCGATTAAGACGGAACACGGCGCCTGGTAGTAAGCTACGCGCGTTTAAGTAGAGAAAGTTTCATATTTGTCAAATTATTCGGCGGCGGGGAGCATTTTTCATTATTCGCTGTTAGTATAACAAACGAGTTTGTCGATTGATAAGGAGCAGTTGAACTTGGTCCATCTTTTTCTTATTCCGTTATTGGTATTCCGGATGCGTTTAGTCGCGCCTGTTAAATCACTATCATCTCGGCATCGCTTCTTTTTTCCTTCTTCTTCTTTAACATGTTGAAATATATTAAACTAAGTACATCCTATTTTACTCGATATTAATTGACAAACCTACTTTTATTATCCGCGCGGTCTTACGTAAACCCAGGCAGGGAAGAAAAAATAATCCGGCATTAAAAGCGCTTAAAATTCGTCTATTAATTGCTTCCTGATTCGCCCGAAAGCTCCGTCGGTGACGTCTCGCCCGCTTTCTTACATTTAAATTATTCGAAACAAAAAGAATTTTTATTGTATAAGTCGAGGGACCGTCCGGCTCTTACAAGGGAAGGTAAATATCTGGAGGATGCGGCCGGGTTGGCACGAGATTAACTGGGCTAAACGATAAACCGACGACCTTCGCGAGTACGAAATAACCTTTCTGTATTATATTTTCGGGAGCCGGCGGGGGGCATCGTTCGGCGAATGGCGCATTAATGCGGTGACGAGCCATGCTTTTTTGGCTCTCGAAGTTATTCAAAAATAAATGACCCATTTTTCCGTTTTGTTTACTCCAACTCTTTTCGTTAAAACGAAAGGAAAAGTTACGCTTCTACTCGTAATCGATCGGCGATTTTTCTCTGCCCTCGGGATTGGGTAATTAATTTTCTAACGCATTACGGTCCTAGTGTTTCGAGCGGAATGAGGTTCGGTGGCCGTTATACGTTGGCGTACGGATGATCGAGAGAGTGTCGATTTAACCACCTTCCGATCCACACTCTTCGGTCTAAAGATGGTTCGGATATTAGAAATTTCTGCATTTTTTTTTTTTAATGAAGCGCAGCGACGTAAAATAAATAGAGCTTCTGTTTATATGCCGAAGAATGGGGGCCAAACCGGCGATTTCCACAAAATAAAAGTGTCGTCGGCTCTTCCCACTCCGCGCCAGACTCGTAATAATTCTTGGCAGGGGTCGAACGCGTCGAGACTCGCAGTTCCTTCCATAAATTAAGCGTTGACGGGTCTTACGCGTCTGTCAACACGTACTTTAAGGAAATCGCCCCATCCGGCTACGAAAGTTCGTAAGGAGAGATAACGGAAAAGTACGGGGTGTTACGGCTACGTGCCTGGATATTTTAATAGAAAATGTATTATTATTATTATTAAATACGAACCCAAACGTATCGGAACAATCCTAGCGGAATTACAACGCCCGATCGTCAAATTTTGCGTATAAAAATAGAAACTCAAATGTAAATGACACGCGTGATGTATTCTTATATGCATAGATATTAAAGGGCGCGGGCCTTTGTACGGCCAAGTATTAGACTTTTCTACAGCTTTCGTGCGCTTTATATACATACAGAAAGCATTTTAAATGCGTAAAGACTATAATTATTAACGCGCTATTATCGACACGAATGCAAATTGCTGCGTTTCCATACGTATCGACCGTGCTAAATAAACACGTATTATCTATATTAATAACGTACGGACGTATTAAATGTAAAAGCGTAAGAGTAATTAAAGCCGGTGTCGTAAGCACTAAGCGTTACGCAACGTTTACGCTAACGCTTAGCGCGTAGAAACCGGCAAATCAGACTGAAGGAATTAAAAGTTCGACGGTCGAGGTAAAGGGGCCGACGGCGCGTAACAGAACCAAGTTTCCCCGAAAGGATAGGAAAGCGCGCGACTGCACCGACAAACGACGCGCACGCCCATTATATAAATCGAGCCCGGGAGTGGTCGACGTCGCGGGTTGACGGCCGTCCCAATTTATGCAAAGTCGGCGGTGACGTCGTTCCCGGGGCCGCGGCCGATTAGCCGAAACCGTAGGGGAGCCGCGGCCGGGCCCCGGCGGTAATTAAAATTAGCGTCGGTGGCTTAAAGCGATTTAAAAGGAACATATGTAATCCGGGAGCCCATTCGGCGCCTCCGGACGACGGCGCGCAATCCCGGGAGGGCCTCTTTCTCTCGCTCTTCTCTAATGGTGTCATTACTCGACCCGGGCCGGTCCCCGTCCAAATTAATGGCATTCTCCGCCATTGTTGCGTGCGCCTTTCTCCGTCCCCGGGGAAGAGCGGGTCCTTAATAAAAGTCCGGCCAAAGCCGTCGACGTCCTTCGTCTGTCTCTCCTCCCCGGACGAAGGACGGATGTGAATGGCCCGCGGCTCCTGCCGCACACTTCCGCTTAAACCGTCTTAATTCAAGTTTTTCTTTTGCCCCCCTCCCCTTATCTACGGCTGAATGAATCTTCCTCCCGCCTGCTTCGTAAATGTCCGTCGTCGTACGATGCTCGACACTTTTATAATAACAACCCAAAAGTCGGCTGACCGTTCAAACGCTACTTACGGCTTAAGATTCGTATTAATGACCCTACGGGGCGCAATTATCCCACTTCTGGGCATCCCGCGGGCGCGTAAATGCCCACCAATATAAACGCGCGTAACGAGTGGGACGTCGACGCTTACGTAACAGAATCGAGTGCTCTCGTTCTCGTACGGGCCACCGCGTATTGTTGCCCCCGTTAGGATAATTATCGGTACACCTTGCGAATTTTAAAGGGGTCGACACGAGTTTTGCATGGGTTTTTATTTATTTATACAGTCGAAATGCTTTTTAGGACGGAGGATTTTCGTCTAATTAAACCATTGTTACTGGCCGATGGGTCAATTACCCGATTATTCGGCTCCGCCAGGAGGAACGAGGAAGCCCGTCTGCCGGCTATTAAGAATTTAAGTAGAAATATGCTAATGAGCGCGTATCTCGACCCCCCGTAAGTCGAACGTATCCAGCCGAGCGACACCACCCACGTCGGGAAACAGATGTAGGATAACGCATTTCTGTTTATTACGTCTCCTACTTCCTCCTTCTGAGTGGCTAACCGGAAGCGGATGCCGTAATTACACATAAATTACGCCTCAATTAACGCCACGAAATAACGTTTACCAATTTCTTGGCCCTCTTAACCCTCGGCCCGGTCGATTCGGTAGAGCGACTCGGCGTAGTTCCCGAGCGAAAAGCAGGTGTTTCTGCCGCCAGCCCGTACCAACTTGGAACACAAAGTGCAGATGTTCCGGCGCCAGATGTGGCCAGAAAGGACCATACGGAACCGACGGCCCTTTGTCGGAGGGGGAGACGACAGACGAAATTAAATAAATGCTCGAGCGCGTAAACAAGACAATCGACGGGTGGAAAAACACGGACTGGTTAAGCCATTTCCTCAATTAAAAGTGATAATCCCGGCCGGGACGCCAATCTCGGGGTCACCAATCGTCTTCTATTAAATTAGAAAATGCCGCCGGTTCACCTACTTTCGGCACCGTCCTTTACGAAAACGAATGGCACCGGACAACGGAAGAAAAGGCACTCGGTTGTGATTTTAGAAGAGGGGGAAGAAAAAAGCCTTCTAAGAAACATTTTTCTCAACAGGTTTATATCAAAGCCACCGACTGGCCGCACCGAAAAATGACACGTAGCCATACTCCGCCCCAGATCAAAACTTGATTAGTAAGCAACCGGCCACGAACAGGTCGGCGAGGAGGCAGCCACAGAAAGAGAAATCTTTGCAGTTATATCGATTCTCTTCCCTCGGGTGCATTTCGTTCGAAGGCCAATTTAAACTTACGTCACACCAACCGACCGAAACCAGCCGGGTGTAAATAAATTACCACCTTTTTTACACTTCTGGATGCCCGAAACTCGGTGGCACACTTATTTTTACCCACCCACCCGCGGTTTTACCATCTTCCACGTGGAATAACAACGAATAAAAGAAAAAAAATGCTAGTTTTTCACACCCGGCCGGAAATCCGACAGGGGGTGGTGTTTAATATTCGCGGCGAGAGCGAAGAACGGAGTAAATTTCCAGAAAATAACAAGAAACATTGTATACGATGCCGATGATGAGATATAAACGAGTTCACAGACCGAGAGTCATTGCGAAGTGAGCACAAAGCAGAGGCGATTGTGACCGAAACAGGTTTACACACCGCTTCTAACAGCACCAAGGGCAGTCGAAGTAACTCGCCTCGACTCCCCCGATAGAAAGCGCGAGTGATCACCCGAATCGCGGTGCCAAAACTCGACTAGTCCAACCCCCCCGCACGAGGAGGAAGCGTTCTGGTTATTATAACAACAATTAAAATTTGGCACGCGAGGTTGTATCGTTTGGCAAACGCCAAACGCGCGGGCAGGCTACCCACTCCGACCCGGGGACGTCTATTATATTGTCGCTCTTCTGGCCCTTCCTCCGCACATTTTATTACAATGGCTAAAAACTGACCGAGTGCCAAGCGAAAAGGGAAAGCCGACGAAAAATAACAATAAATCCATTGTTCTGGTAATTACAGGGCCTACGTTTAAACGCGGAAGATGTCGAATGGTTTGTTTTGTTTTTTCGGGGGTTATTTTTTGGTGGCGCGTGAAATCTTTCCAGGTTTTCGTCGGTTTTTGGTGGCCGCAGCGGCTCGGGCACGGCCGGCGAGAGGTTGCCCCCGGAGAAAATAACTTTTCCAATTCGTTAAATACACCGGGATGACACTAAGCGCGCGTTTAAGGGAAGTTACGAAGGGGGGAACGGGTAAGTAACGAAAATCCAGGCGAAACAATCGGGCGCACTTTCGTCCGGCGTCGAATAAAGGTAACTCGTCACTCACCTGTTTTAACACAGCGTCGAACTAGGCCCGGTGTGCGACAATCGGCCAGTCGTTTCGTCTCGGGATATCGGCTCATCATCTCCCTCGATCGGCGCGTAAATCCAACGCTGCCAACGACGTGACGCGCGGCGGGTACCCTCCTCTCGACGCGAGGTGGCGCTGCCGGCGGAAAATCCGCCGGGCCCGTTCCATTACCTTCGACGGGGGGTGGGCGGTTCGGCCGCGAAACTGCCGAATCGTCGCCGCTTACGCCATTCGGAAAGTGGCTGGCGCCCGTTTTTCTTTCCACGGTTAAATCTGCGCCCGGTCCTACCTCACTTTCTTCTCTTCTTGTAATTCTCGACCGATTTTAGGGAATAAACCGGGAAAGAACGCCAATTATTCCAATTAAAAAGGGAGTTAACTTTAAACGCCGACTGGTTTCGAACGGTCGCACGTCCCCGCCAAAACATCGGCTTTCCCCGGGGACCGTAACCGAATTTTCGGCCAGTGTTTGAGATTAATGACGCCGCCGAAAGCTAACCATTTGCAAAAACTAACCGAAAGCGATATTACCCCAACGATAACAATTATCGATAACGCGCTAATAAGTGGTTTCGACCGAGGCGATCTTATCGCCATGGTGGTAACCGGGCTAAAATCGGGTCGTCTACAAAACGGTTACAAAAACCACACGAATTTACCTTTCTAAGTCTCTTTTCTTTACAAAATACACTTAAAATCGGTAGTAACGAAAGGCCGATTGTACCGGCCGCCATTACGGTGTGGTAGAACGGTTACAAGAAAAGAAAAAAACTTAATAAATCCTTCCAACGGCGGCCATTTTTTAACGTTCGGATCGGTGTCCGCGGTCGGGAGGTTTCTATTTTTATTCCGGCTTCGATTTCGCAATAGAAATACTTAAATTTAATTACTTTTTAACGCGAGAGTAATTTACGCCGCCTTAAAATGCGCCGTAAACTTAACCATTCCTCAGTACGGTGTTACCGGTACGATCGAACCGGTTACCACCCGATATTGCGGTAAATTTAAGTATACTCTGTTAAAAAAAAATAGCTAAATTTATGTTTTTATTACGGGAAAACTTTTAAATCTACAATAAGAAAGCGTTCCGGGAAAACTTTTTCCGCACTTTCCACCGTTACGATTACTCGAACTGTACAAAAATGCCGTTACTAACAGAAATCTTAATGAAAAATTCGGTTACGGAAGTGGCCTATTTATGAATTTTTACCAAAAGACAATTTGTATTGGAAACGGGATCGATTATGAGATGGTGTCACGAGCGTTACGTGATTAAATTCCCAACGAGAAACGTTACTAGATCGACCTCCCTTAGATAAGGCATCTACCGCCGTGGCTTGCGTCCAACGAGTCCTTCTATTGTTCGTAACACGCGCCCCATTAAATCGCTTTCCGAACTATCGCGTGTCGCCCGGTCGTAACGCCAGTTACGTTGGAAAATTTCGGACGTGTTAGTTCCGCTTTGTTACCCGTCGGATGTGGAGTTTACTTTCACCTTTATCGTTAATTACGGCGTCATTTCTATTTTAAGTTACGAGATAAGTGATGTAAATCGATTCCAAAATGTCCTTCGTATCTTTAGCAGTCGATAATTGATAAAAGGTGCATTAACAATGAATCACGTGTTAAACTCTTGCGGGTTTATAGAGGTAACCGTTGCAGTAACAAGAACGAATTTGATTATTCCAAGAACACACTTTTCACTTTTTTCCAGCGGATCATTTAAATTTCTACATTATCACGGGAAATTTTAATAAAAGGAATGTCGATGATTGTCAAATCCTGTCAGATCGCTGTCTACGAAACTATACACACTAATAAACAATTTCGTACGCGGTTACATTAAAAAATAAATAAATTATTACAAATTACGTTAGGTTTTTTACTTTATAAAAGGGTGCCGCGAGGTCGTTCGGGGTATCTCGCACCAGTCGCGCAACTTTCTTACATTAACGAGACAGCGAGGTGGAAGAAAACCTTTCCAACTCGAAACCGCAAAGAAGTAAACGAAAACCAATTTAAGGGGCGAATTACTAATAAAAATTTGAGTTAAATACTGAACGGAACCATTGTTAGGTGCAGCGTTTTAACTGGCTCGGCGTGGAAGAGGGAGTAGGATTTATGGACGATGCAACAGATAAATTCGTGGTTTTTTTTTTACAATTAAAATATACGATTTGTAAATTGTAAATTATTAGCATTAAACGTAATATAAAGAGGCGAGGTGGCAAAAATACGCGGGGGAAATCGCCCCTCTCCGTTATAGATCTGGAGGTAACAGGAGGTGTCCGGAAACACTGACCAGCTTACCGCCGATAGCCCGGGGTGATAATACATTACTAAGCTTAGAATGGTGGTTAGCGTGTGCTGAATGGAGACGCTGATTAGGCGGCGGGCTATCAAAACGGGGGGGGGCGAGACGACCCGCTTACTATTGTCCCTCTGTGAAGAATGCTAATTGGGTGAAAAATTGAAGTTCACGCCATCGTTTTTCTGCATAGAAATCCAACATAAAGGAGGCAATCTTTGACTTTCGAAATTGCTTCGGTTTACAACCTATCAAAATCGAGGTTACATTCGTACTTCGTTGCCGATTGCGTATATAAACGACACGCTCGGTGGGCCAAAAGTCGCTTAACCGGGCAATACCCGCGTTGCAAAAGCGGTTAACCGACTTACGGTCGAAATGCCAGACAATTTATTTGAATTAAAGGCCATCTGCCGCTTCTTTCCGGCTGTTAAGTGGGTAAAATATTCGAGCGGTAGGCCTTACTTAACCCGAAACGGAGCGTATAAACGACATTGTACCACGGATTTCCCAGTTAAGTGCACAAGGCCCGCCTCACAAAGGGTTCATATTACATAAGGCGGGATGTCGTTTTACTTGAATAAGAAACGTCCTTTGTGTTTTTCCACACAAAGAAGTAGATTTTAACCTTCGAAATTCCAAGGCTAATTCTCTTCGCACTTTCTATAGGACTACTTTTCGAGTACCGAAGAAACACGCGGTATCGCTTACTTCGCCTTCGAAAACACTGCAAATTAACAAAAGAAAGGAGGGAGAGATTGTTTCTTCCGTCAACCTTTACAATATTTCTTATCGAGTTTAAAAGGAAAATCCAGTTTGTTGCCATAGAAAATAAAAGTGACCACATTGAATGACAAGACCACCCCGAGAGAGGACAAAAGAGGCGATACCTCACGCGTGATTTTTCTTTATTCTTTTATATTTCTTTCTTCTCGAAGGACGGGAAATTGCGACCACACCTTTATTGCGTTCCTTTAAATAAGTGCCTTTCCTCCCCCCGGCCAATTTACAAATAATACGCCAAGAATATTTCCCAAATTAAAATTCTAAAATAGTACACTAGAAGGGTTTTCGTTAATTAAAAAAAATGTTTTATTAGCGAGAAAACACGGGAAACCACCGTGAAATGTCGAGATAATCTTATGGCACAGTCCAATGCGGCTGTTTAATAGTTTCTCGCGTCATAGAAGAGTGAACAAATCCCCCTGTGACGTGTGTTTTTGAACTCCCGGTTGTATGTAGTCGGAGTAGATACTTTTTCTTTTTAGAAAAAAGCTACCGTCTTCTGTAAAATTAAAAATTTATTGCCCCTCTCATTCGGACATTCCGTCGTAAATCATTCAAACTACTTAAATGCCCATTTTATGTACCGGACGGGTTGGAAAAAATGAATATTTTAAATGTCTCTCCTACAAAACTGACAAAGAAAAACACATAAAAAGTTAGAAAATGCGAAGAATCTTCTTCGTAATTGCTGACGTATTTACGTTTAAAGGCTAAAGGACACTTTTAAATGTTTGAAAAATGAAGAGGTAAGATGCCACTCCACGAAAATTATTGTCTGCTTATAAAAAGGAATTCGTACAGAGAATTAAAGATGTGTTTATCAAAGTTAACATTTGATTCTATGAAAATGTGTTATTTTGTTGTAAGAATTTGCCTGTGACAAATTTTGAACCCAATGTATTGTTTCCATAAATACAGCGGAACACGAGTCGGGGGCCACGATCTGGTGGGAGAGAGCCCACAAGCCGTCTCGGAAGGCCTCTAACCACGTCCCCTCCTAGACGAAGACCCTCGGATTCCTGCCCCTTTCCCTATAGGCATCCACAGATATTTTATACACGCACACACGACCATAACGGGGTCTACGACTCCAATTTAATTCTATAAAAAGTCTCGAATCTCTCACAATACGAAGAAAACTTCCCGTACAGAAGAATCGGAACAAAACACGAAGTGCAACGCACGACAAAGATAAAAAGTTCGTTCAATTTTCTGCTCAAGATTCTTCGAGAAATTTATGCCATTAAGAAATATAAATGATTAAAAACTACTGTTTTGAAACAAAAATTATGTTGACCGGCGCGCTTGACAGCCCAAGCGTACGGGCCACATCATAATTTTATCCCAAAAATCCATTAAAAAATAACCCAACGAACGAAAGACTAAAGCCGTAGTACCGAATAAAAAGTTACTTGGACTCTGTAGGGAGGCCCAAAAGTCAGTTAACCGAGACAAATGGTATCGCTGGTCGAAGCTACCGGTTTCTGCCGCATTCTGTTAACCGATTTCTGAGCCATCCCGCGTATTTCGGATCATTTTTCGTTGGCGAAACCGATAAAAATGCTCATTTTTGGGACTAATTTGGCGTGTTTTCTTGACACGTGGTCCTTAGGGTTTGCGTCCCGGGACGTCTTGTGTCTCGAAGTCCCGGGACTTTTTCTAAATTTAATTGTCTCGGGTCCCGGGACATTCGGGTCAAGATCGAGACACTCTTATCGAAATTTTATTTTCAAAAGGTTAGCAGAGCGACGTTTCTTTTGTTCTCCCTCCTGTTTACAAATAAACAACGCAGGTGGAGGTAATTTACAAGGCCGTGTGACTTTTAACCTTACTCTGTTAAATGTTTGTTAAAATATTTGCACACTGGCCACCACAGCTCACAGTCGAAAAATACGGATTTTTTTACTTCGAATTTGAATAAAACTGCACTTATTGCTTTTGCGGAGGATCTGCATTACAGACTTTTTGAAAATATCCCTCGAATTCAAACGTCAGATTTGGAAATAATGGACGCCGAACCGAGTACCAGTAGC